CTGAAGAAGACACTAAAAGATTCAAAGATTTCCCATGCTTACAGATTGGTATGATTAATATTGTAAAAATGGCCATCCTACCATAAATATTCAACAGATTCAACGTGATCTCCATCAAAATTTCAATATAATTCTTCACAGAAATAAAAGAAAATCAACTTCATATGGAAACAGAGAAAATCCAAGATAATTAAAATAGTCCTAAATAATAAAAGAACTGCTAGCATTAGCACCATCCCAAATTTAAAGTTATACTACAGAGCTATAATAACAAAAGAACATGGCATTGGCACAAAAACGGACACTTTGTCAATGGACTTGAACTAAAGATCCAGATGTAAGTCTACATAGTCATGAACGCCTGATTTTAACCAAGAAGACAAAAATACTGAAGAAAAGACAGCATCTTCAGCAAATAGTGCTGTCGAATTGGATGGCTGCATGTGGAAGATAAAAAAATAGATCCATTATCTAGCCAGTGGCCTAAACCTCAACTCCAGATGCCTCAAAGACCACAGCATAAAACCAGGTACCCCAAATTTGATATCGGAGAATGTGGGGAATAGGCTTGAACTCGTTGGTATAGGAAAGAACTGCCTGAACAGGACACCAATTTGCATAGGCATTAAGATCAACAATCAATAATTCACGAAGCTGAAAATCTTCTGTAAGGCAAAAGACACCATCATTCAGGCAAAGCAGCCGCCTATAGGATGGGGAAGTGTCTTTACTAATTATATATCCTATAAGGACTGGCATTCAAAATATAAAAAGAACTAAAAAACCTAAACATCAAGAAAATAAATTATTTAAAATGGGGCACAAAAAGAAATCGTTCTCAAAAGATGAAGCATTAGTGGTTGAGAAACACTTAAAGAAATGGTCAACATCCTTAACATCGGGGAAACGTAAATTAAAACTACTTTGAGATTTGATCTTATACCAGTTAGAATGACCAAGATCAATAAAATGCGCTAGTGAAGAGATGGAGAAAGGGAAACACTTATACGTTGTGGTGGGAGTGCAAACTTGCATAGCCACTATGGAAGTCAGTGTGGTGGCTTTTCAGGAAGCTGGAAGTCGATCTACTTCAAGATGTACCTCAAGCTCCAGATACACTACTCTTGGGCATATACCCAAAGAGTCTACACCCACAGAGTCACTTGTTCATCCGTGTTCACTGCTGTTCTATTTATAACAGCCAGAAACTAGAAAGAGTCTAGATGTCCATCAACTGAAAAATGAGAATGTTGTACTGTACATTACAAATTGAATATTACTCAACTGTTAAGAAAAGTGAAAACTGCAGGTAAATGGGTGGAATTAGGAAAAAAATTGTGAGTCAAGTAACCCAGATCCTCACAAGATAAGCATTGTATATTTTATCTTACATGTGGATATTCTCTTCCAGGCCTTTGATAATATGTGTTCTACAATCCAAATAACCACAGAGGTTAGGTGCCCAGTAAGGAACGAGGGCTAAGAAGAACATTTTCCTAGGAAGGGGAATCAATATATCATTATGGAGAGAGAAATGAGAAAGCAGAATAGGTGACGTAAATGGGGAGGAGAACGGAAGAGAAGGGTAAAGGAGGGATATGGGGAGGGACAAGTAAGAATAAAAGCAATCTGAAAATCCATATAGAAAACTACCACCATAAAAGCTTCTTAAAATATATACATAGACAAGAGGAAACTAAACGGAGTCACCAAAGAACAGGGGATACAGTACCCCAACTAGATATCTTATGCTAGTAAGTAAAACCTCCAGTGCCAGGAATAGGTTAATGACTTGTTGAATCACTGGCCAAAGAGGCCCCAATGGAAACCCACAAATACACAGGCTATTGTCATTGTCAAGGATACTCTTTATTTTCTACAACCTGAAGGTAAGGCCAGCATTAGCTGAGGACATCACTTACTTATGTCATGAAACATGAAGAAGTTGAACTGGTACCTAAACAGAGCTTCATCCCTACTGACTAGAGTTCACAGTACTGGAAGGTACTGTGGACACCACCAGAGGAGGAAAGTAATCATCAGTATCTCCCAGTTACAACCCCTGTAACCTACAACAGTGACATGCTTATAAAACACACCAGTGCAATAGCAGCACAAATATGATGAGAGTAACCACCAACTTTCTGACTGGATGTAAGGACCACTCTATGAGATGGAGCCCTACCTGATGCTGCTAAAGTAAGCAACAACCTCACACTAGAAAAGTCGTGGGCCAAGAGGAAAACCCAACACTATCACTCTGCTAAAGGGACATAGTGAGAAAATGACTCCTAACAACACACTCCTGGGAGTGAGGGAGGGAGTGAGTGAGTACGTGCCTCACTCAGCCCTCAGAGAAGCTTCTTCTTGCTGCAAATAGAAGCTAATACAGAGACCCACAACTAGACAATGCAGAGAGTGAGAGACTTTGGGGCACACAGTCCTGGAAAGAATTTGGAGAGACTTTGGCAGCATGAAGAGGACCCATATAGGTTCAAGTCAGATGGGGGATCCAGTACTGAGATGGAGAAGTGGACAGGGGCTCCCACCTGGAGCCAAGAATCTATCTACAACTGATACCCCTTGACAAAGGGGAAGAAAAATCTGTTTTCTCCAATGAAATATCACTGGCCATATTAACCACACTTCAGGGCAGACCCCAAGACCAGACAAAATGATTCATTTTGCTCTGTTTGGGCATTTGTGTGTCTCTGTGTGTGTGGTGTTTCTTAGGTTTTGTTTTTTAAGGGTACTTGAGAGAGAATGAACATAAAGTTGGGTGGGTAAGATCTGAGAAGAATTGGGGTACGAGAAAAGTTGATGAAAATGTATAGTATGAAAAATGTCAATAAAAATTAAAACAAGAAATACTATTTAATTAATTCAACAAGTGGGTATTTGTATACATAGCTAAAAGCAATTAAGCCAGTATGATGTATAAAAAAATGAAGATAAAAGATTTATAACTAAAGTTAAAGAGCTGATTTTTAATAAGTTCAGAAAAGGTGGATATATAATAAATGTCAAATGGTTATAAGGCAAAACATGTAAATAAAATATTTAGAAATTTTGAACATAAAGAAGGTATTCAAGAGAAACTTGATTTAACTAATTTTAAAATACACTTGAAGGAAAAAAGCTACAGAATATTTTCTCAAAAAATTACAAGAAATATATTACCAATATTAGCATCATACAGTTTGTTAATGGCATTAAGGAATTAGAAGTACACAAAACCACAAAAGCAACTAACTTATTAGTTGACTCTGAATGACAGTTGTGATAACAAAAGTTCATGCATATGTCAATCTGATAGGAACACTGCAGTGGTGAGAAAAGACAGGCACTGTTAGGTGTGAGATAAAAGCTGAAAGGGTTGGGAAGATGTAGGAGGAGCTAAGGTGGGAGGAGTAAGGAGAGGAAGAGAAAAAGGAAGAGGAGGAGCTATGGAGAGCAGAGATGTAGAGTCACACAAGTATGGAGAGCAGTCGTGGGTAATAACTTTGATTTAGGTTAGCAAATTGGAAACAACTCTCTTCGTATGGGCATCTTGTTATTGAGCATTACCAAACATATAAAGCCTTTGATTAATCTTTAAGCATTAGAGTCTCATTTTAATACTAGGCCCGCATGGATAGCAGAATGGTCTGGGCAATGCCCAGCCTTGAGGAGACAGCGTGGAAGATTGGCAGAGCCATTTCCCACACTGGCGTCTCATGGGTGGCAGGGCTGGTGTTTCTGGCTGACTGGTTCTAGCTGCTATGCGCATGTGGCCTCTGGCCATGGAACATGGTGGCTGAGCTAGGCAGAGCTGCCGCAGCTTAGATGGTAGGCCAGCACAGCCCCACTTTTAAAATATTTACTTCAACAGGAAGACATGAAGGAAGGGCATTAAACAGAATGCAGTACAGGGAAAAAGAAAATGACACATGAAAGCTCATAAAATTCAAAACCCTCTGTCCAGCATAGGAAACTAAGTGAAGTGGCAGCCCAGAAAATAAGAAAAATATCTGCCATCTATACATCCATCAGAGGATATGTTCTACAATATACAAGGAAGTAAATAAACTAAACATCAAGGAAACAACTCAGAGCTGGACATGGTGGCACATGCTTTTAATCTCAGTACTCAGGAGGCAGAGTTAGGTGGATCTCTGAGTTTGAGGCCAGCCTGGTCTACAGAGTGAGTTCCAAGATGACCAGGGTCACACAGAGAAACCATGGAGGTGGAGTGCAAAAAAAAGAAAACAGTTTAAAAAGATGTGCCATGTGTTGGAACAGAGGATACTCAACAGAAAAAAGAAATAAAATGACTAATAAACATTTAAAAGAATGTTCAACATCATTAGCTATCAGGCGATGCAAATTAAAGCTACTCTGAGATTCCAACTCACCCTAGTCAGAATAACAATCTTCCAAAGTGACAACAAAAACAGGAGAAGATGGAGGGAACCCTCAGGGAGTCTGTATGCACTACTGTTGGAGTGAACCTGGTACAAGCTATGGAAATCAGGGAGGAGGTCCCTCGGAAGCTAGAAGCCAGACATAGAAACCATAGTGTCAGTCTTCTGCAGCACCCAGAGAATACATTTAATAAGAGATTTTAAAAAATAAATTTTCAGAAAACTAGAAATACCACATGGCTTTCAGTGACTGTAACAAAACCCTGAATTTTATTTGGGGATCATGCTTTTGGATGGTTCAGTCATTGCTAGCTTACTGCTCTATACCTCATGCTGTGAGACATCATGGTAAGAGTATGTGGCAAAAGAAAGCTGTTTACTTCATGGTCAAGATGCAAAAAGTGGAAGGAGGGGCTAGGGGCTTCATTGAACTCTTCTGGTGTTTGTCTCTCAACAACTGGAAAACTTCTATTGGACTTTAAAATTTACATCACCTCCAAGCTGGAAACCAAGCTTTTAACACATGGGCCTTTGGGAAATATTCCAAGTCTAATCTCTGGCATTATAATAATTTAATTAAGTCCTTTCCCTACTTACCTGTATTTTTTAGCTAGATCATCCCTTTCTGTTTTCTGCTGAGCAAGTATATTATCCATAACTTCTTTTATCTCTAACATCTTTCCAATGTATTGTTCTAGAAACACAGTGATAATAAAAGGTCAGGTAATTGAAGACTGGCAAATGCTGAATCTATTCACATAAACTTAGACTTATTGTCCTTTATTTTTTGAGATGGGGCTTAAATCTTCACTATTCCTGCCCACTTTCCAACATAAGTGGCCCAAATACTTAAATCAAAGCTTAATTATATCATCCTAATGAGATGCCTGAGGTACTCAGATAAGAACACTGTACCTCAGATAAGAAAGGACAGTCCATCTTAAATTCTAATTATGCTATCCCATTGACCTAAGATCTAGGAGCTGGGATTCATCTGATCTAGCTCTATGATCAGCTTTTTTTTTTCTTCTTGTCTGTCATATATGTGGTGATGTATATTTGTAATGTGTGCAAATGTCTGTCTATGTGTAGACAAATGCATGTACCACACACAGGCATGTGGTAGCCAGGCCTGTGCAGCAGCACTGAGGTGTCTCACAGGCTCCCCGTCTTATTTTCTGAGATACAGTTCCTCACTGAAACTAAAGCTCATTATTTTGGCCAAAATGACTGAATATTTATTTTCCTTAGAGAAAAGTGTTGCCCACTGTAATTTAATCTTTTGACACTACTTTTGAAAAGTATATCAACTTCACAAAACAAGGTGTTCTCAAATGGTCCTAGAGCAAATCATATATAGTGAAAGGACAAGATGTTCAGAATTTACAGATGTAAGTGGTGCATGACATCAATATATCAGTTTTATTATTGCCAGAACAAAGAACATGATCTCTAAAAAGAAAATAATAAGCATTTACATCTTTTGAATTAAGATAGAAAGCAACTTTATTTCTAGTCTTTACAAAAAGACTGAGTTTATCCATCAGCCTCAAAACATTGTTTAACTAAAGAACAAAGTTCCATCATTCTCTTTTTTAAATTCTTCAAGTATTTAATTTTTCTTCAAAGTTTCAAAGATAATTCCACTAACTCCTTTTTAATTTTTAAAATTTGCTTCTGTATCTTAGTATGCTGACCATGAAAGAGGATAAAGCATCCCGAATCTATGTCTTCTTATCTCATGCATGCTTCATGGTCTATGCCTGCCTGAGCACACACACATACCCCCCCCACACACACACACAAACACTCACGCAGACTCCCCACTTTTAGCTATTCTGAATGTTGAAATAAGAAGCACATATTTACCTTCATCTTTAGAGTTTCTTATTTCAAACTTTAATAAATTTTCTTGTTTCTCTTCTATATCTTGTAGAATGGCACTGATGGTCTGATGCTGCCAGATAGAAACGTTAAGGGTTCTGTTATAAGAGGGAAGATGTGCATGTTGACAGTCTGACAAATGCAAAGAATATGCAGCTTAAAATCTCATCTCAGTGTTCTCAAAATGCACTCATGTTTTATGTGACTTTAATTGAATGAATGTTGAAGATATATAGAGATAGACTTAAATATACCTTGCCTTATATAGTGATCTATTGAAAAACAGAAGAAAAGGAGTAACCATACAAGAAATTTTAATTTCTGACTTCATTTGAAACTGTAAGATGGGAGGAAAAAACTTCACATATACTATTTCATGATCACATATGCAAAGTTTACTTTAAGACTTATGATTATCACTGCACATTGTTAAAATCCTTATGCACAACTCTAGATATATGAAACTCTACCCTCAAAAAGCACATAAAGGGGTTTTACTGGGCCTCTCTGTGCCCTCGGTACCACTAAGTTTCCTGCCTGAAACGCACTCGCAGTTTCTGTTCCTTCTTTTAAGAACCATAAGGAGTGCTCCAGAGGCAGACTACCTGTGTGAGCTCCTGGCTCCACTTCTTCCCAGCTTACTGACTGCTGCAAGTTACTTCCCCCTTATGCCTGAGCCAAGAGGAAATATTCATGTAAAATGTTAAGAACATCACTAGCATAAAGTATTGTTCTATAAAATCCATCTCAAACATAAAACCTCTGCCTAACATAATCCCCACTGACTAATCTTTCAGCAAATTAATAATTTTACAGCCATATAATACTTTTTTTTACAAAATATTTCTTCAATTCTTATAAGCAGGAACATGTGTTTTATTTTTGTGTATGCTTTTCAAAATCATACAAGTATAACTCTCATGCAATAAATGATGATTAATGGACTAATATCTATCTTCTCACAAATTCTTAATATGTATTTATTATTTTAATTATATGTCAAAGCCTAGAAAAATGTTTTACATTTATTTAGTGTGTATGTACATACTGGAAGACAGAAGGGAAGTTTTGGAAGTTGGTTCTTTCCTACCATCTGGTTTCTAGGGCTGGAACTCAGGCTGTCATGCTCGGTGGCAAGTGCCTTTACCTGTGAACTGTCTTATTAGAGGTGGTGAAACAGCCTTTGTATTACAATTTATTAAATGCATCATAGTAAAACTACAAAATATGAAATTGCAAAACAAATAAAAACCCAAGGACTATCTAGTCACATAGTAAATCACTTATGATTACAAAAGCTCTAAATTTGTGCTCAGGCTATACCTCTACCTTCAGATTCCACTAAAGATATTACTTTTGTGTCAACTTTCCTGTCTTGCTTATATTGGAGATCTTGATTATGTATGTATAGATCTTCCACAATGGACTATAGCATATTCAAAATTATATTGAAGATGGTACCTTACTTAAGTTTGTGTCAATAAACTTAGTAGTTTTTAACTGAAAATATCAAATCAACCTATCCATATGTAAATGATTTTTTTTTGAGCAATACTGAAGTCCACCACAAATTCTAACATTATATGTGAGACTCAAGGCAGTTAAGCCAGCAACATTGCTGTTCTCTGTGTGGGCTCTAGAGTCTTCTATGAACTACATATCCTCCAATGTGAATGAAGATGTAAGAGGACAGTAGCAGCGTCTGCAGGAAAAGTAGTCAAAGGCTCCAGCAGGCTAGAAAGGACAGTGGCTAATGTGGACTTCCTTGGTCAGTGCAGACACCTGAGAGTCAATCACACAGCATAACTTCTTGACTCATTTTGTTCAACTGACATTGTCGTGAAAACACACATTCAATCCATGTCCACGTCCAGTGGCTGGTGATTTGAAGGGATGGTATTCTCCAGGCTGAAGAATGAATGGACTTCTTTACCACTTACCACACATGTCACTTACCGCAGGGAGGCTCTCACTCCTCTTCGCTTTATGTGAGGGGACAGGAGAACCAATTGCTTTGTCACTGTCGAAGATAAACTGCTTATATCTTTTTGGCTGAACAGCAGGAAATTTTACTTAAAAAATAAATTAGAAAAATAAAGTTAGAAAATAAGAATGTTCAAAAGTGTCTTTTTTAAAATCAGTTTTAATTGAAAAGGATGAAAAGAATAAGATTACAATTATTGTTTTAATGCTAGGTGCTTCTCATTATTATTAACTATAACAACATTTTATGAGTACTTATCACATACTAGATTATTTGCTGGTGTATCATCTTACTTAATATTAAAATATTCACAAGAACCTCTTGAAATAGGTAGTTTGCTACAAATCTTATTAGAAGAACTGAAATGTCAGAGTTCAGGAAATCTAGCGCACAATAATTCTGAAACTAGATGTTATCTGAATCCAAGCGCATACTCGCAATGCCTATGATCCATTGCTCTGCAGGACTCTGTTTTCTTCTTCCTTTTCTGACTCCCTTTTGCTCAAACTATCATTTGTTCTGTGCTCCTCATTCCCCTGAGCACATGACTAAACGTACATTCAGCAATCAGTAGAGTCCTAGTATGTCCCAGTGCTAGGATTGCCTAGTGTGCTAAGCTCAGTCACACCATGAGAGCCGAATCCTCAACTATGGCTGTAGAAAAGGAGAGAAACCTCAATGGGGCTCTAAGAAAGAGAGAGTTTTAGCAGTCCTGACCTTGATCTACATGTGACCTAGACCACTAACAGTTACATATTGAGTATTTTTGGTTTTAACCAGTCACAATGAAATCATCCACCCGTGAAAACCAACAGCTGGTGATGAGCATGGTAAGCTAGAAGGAATCTCTCCTGTCTCCTCCATTTTCCACATCAAGAGCAGATGCATTCCTGAGTGTCTTCTGAGTTAAGATTCAATCGTGAGGAAAAGGGAAAAAAAATCAGTTCTCTTTAAACACTTTATAAAATGGAAACTATTTCAAAATTATTTGATAAATTTTTGCTTAGCTATATATTTTCTTGAAATATTCTTCTTACTATGAATCTAATAACTTCAGGAATCATTCACTATACATATTAAGAGAATGAAATCTTAGCTGCAAAGACTTCAGTATAATGTCACCCTTTTCCTGTCCTTCCACAAATAATTCAGCAGCTTGGTTTCAATTATATCTCTATATCAAAACAAAAGTAGGGAGATTGTTTGATTAGCAGATGGTGTACGCTTCACCTCAGTAACTCCAATCCAATAGCACCATCCAGGCTTGGTATTATAGCTTAGTGATAGAGGTTTCCGAACACTCACAATCCCTGGGCTCAATCCTTAACACTACACTTAGGAACTCCAGGTTCATGGGAATTGTGGAGGAGAAAACATATCTATGGGAGGAATGGTTTCAAATGTGTAAGATTTGACAGTGGATAAATCTGCCTTTCACTGACATCCTCTACTGCCCCTTTCTCTTTGTTGTTCACACAGCACACATCAAAGCTCATCCATCCTGAGCCACTAGCACTCACAACTTGCTCACGCTTTCCTTGTATCCACAGAGTTTCTCACTGACTTTCACTTCCCACACACAGGTTCTATGTACCTTTCAATTCTCAACATCCACACACAGTTTGTAAATGTCCAATTTCTCCCAGAATTGAACACCACTACTTTATACCCTCTGGGCAATACAAATGTTAACAGCTGCCCACTACCTGTTGTTATTTAGACAATACATTATAGTTATGGTGCCACTTATCTCCACACAGACAGGTACTCCAGATTCAGCAATGTTTTGGTTTGCATTTTACAGCTTTAAGATGGTGCAAGAGCAGTGCACATTTTGAAAAAATCTGTGTGGATTTGGGGGCCTCCCCTAGCAATCAGTACCTGCTGATCCTCTCCCTTGGTGCACAGGCTATAAACTGCAACTTCCGGTCAGCCGAGCAACCCTAAAGAGAACAACTGGTACTCTCCAGGCTCTGTGTTATTAGGCTGTGTCCAATGGCCAGCTGGTGTCTTCCAGCTGGTACAAGAATACAGAAGTACATAACCTCCAGAAGGTTTCATAACCATCCAAACAGGACAACAGACGGAACCATCCAGCAGGCCACAGCAGAGTTCATGGACCCAGAGACTGGACTTCCAAAAAAACTAAAACATTCAGGCATTAGGTAAGTGCCTGACAGCATTGCCCCTCATGGAAATTTCTATACAAAGTAAAAGTTTTTTAAAATTTTTAGATAAAATATTATGACCATCTTATTAAAATAGCACCATTTGTATTAAAAAATTAAAAAGGAAGGTGGTAAAGGAAGGAAAAACTAATATTAATATATGATCTGTAAAGTTTATTATATTTAGAGATTTGTTTATTTTTATTTTATGTATATAGGTGTTTTGCCTCCATATTTGTCACTATGCCCAGTACATGCAGTTCCTGCAGAGGTCTAAAGAGCACCAGAGACCCTGGAACTGGAGTTACAGATCACTGTGAGCCACCCTGTGAGTGCTGGGAATCAAATCTGGATCCTCTGGAAGACCAGGGTAGTACTTTTCACTGCTGAGCCATTGCTCTAGCCCTTAATCAAATTTTAGAATACTAATTTCTAAAAATAATGCATTTTTACGAGTTTAATGAACAGAGGGAAACACCAATCCCTCCAGATAGGAAATAACACTATACTATATATGCAAAGATTTCACTTTGCTAAGCAGAGACATATACCTGTATAAATAGAAAGCAATATTGACACACATACCTGGAACTGCAGAGTTACTCTCAATAGCATCATAGGATTTTAGTAGTTCTTTCATTTTTTCATCATCTGCTTCATCCAAAGCAGTCCTCTGTTTCTCATCTTTCTGACTAGGGTTTGCTCCATGTTGTAGGAGTATCTCAGCTGCCTGAAAAGTAATTTTTCAAAGTTATAGCTACATATATCTGCTTTCATCTTAAAACATCACCACTAAGCACAGATCTTCAAGGTATGGACAAAAACATTTTGACTAAATTTGATATGGTAATGGTAACTTTGACTGGGCTTGACTGGCCCCAGAGAACACACACGATAGCATTAACCATAGCACGCTGCTTCCCTGGTAAAGAGTGGCACAGGTAATGCCACTTCTAGTCACTTCTGCCCGAATTATTTCTGTATCAGCTATTCTCAAAAAGTAGCTGCAAACCATGTGTCCTTGCTGAATATCTGAGCCACAGTGAAAATGACTAACAGAATTCTTTATTAAATTAATTCAAATTCAAATAGCAAAATGTGGCTCATAGCTACTGTACTGGACAGCACAAGTATACATAGTACAGATTCAGTCATTTGTCTGAAAATGTGGAGTTGCTGATACGGTCCCATTGTACAGCCCCACTGGCAGGGGGATGGAGTAAAGGCGGTAAGCCTTGCTTCTAGACTACATACAGTACATTTATACTGCGAGTTACCGATCCACTGTAGTTAATGAAGCTCTATTTGGATGAGAATTTCAGGTCAATTAATCTACCAACTTAACATCTACTCTAAAATTCTCTCTATAAAAATACATACTCTAGTAGTTATGATCATACTATATCAAAGATGGAGGTAGTACTTAAAGATGACCTACTCTAACCCCATCATTTTACAGAAGAAAGAAAAACCAAATGACCAAGCATCTCAAACATAAATAAGGTTACCCTGAGTTACTCAAAGTTGGGTGTCAGAAAGGCTAGAGAACTGGCTCAGTGGATAACAGAGCTTGCTGCTAAGCCTGATAACCTGAGTTTGATACCTAGGATCCACATGGTAGAAGAAAATCTACTACTACAGGTTATCCTTGAACTTCTGTGCATGCATGAGTACCTTACAAGTGCTCACACATACATGCCTCCACCACAAATGAATGTAATAAAAATTAAACTAAATTAAAACAAAAAGTCGTGTGTTAACATGGTGGTGGATCATAACTGTTTGTAGCTCTAGTTCCAAGGAATCCAGCACATCTTCTGATCTCAACAGGCTCCTGCACACATGTGGCACACAAATACACTCAGGCACACACACACAAGATAAAATAAAAAAATAAAGTTACAAGTTTGTAATTTTACAAAATTGAGAACAGCTAACAATTAGAATACATTGTGAGTGAATCAGCCAAGAGCCAGAGATCCCACTTGCATAGGGAAGCTGGAGATTCAAAACTATGGAAACATCTGATAGCAAAAATACGGCCAGGATGTGAGTGAAATGGACACATACTATGTGACAATATAGCTTATCTTTCTGCTTATACACAGATAGAGAGACAAAGGAGACATTTACAAGTCACCGAGCCAACAGATTACTATTTATCATAAGTATGACTTAGGAAATATAGCTTCTAACCTGAGTCATGTTCTTTTATTTTATTCACTTCTTTGAAGATTTTTTTTTTAAATTTTCATAGTCTAACTTACCAGAGTCAGTAATTAAAGCTCATGCCCATTAGATTCTATTTAAGAAATGTTTGCCTATCTAAAAAATCATGAAATTTTCTTCTGTTTTCCTTTAAGAGGTTCTCTTAATGAACTCTTTCAGGCCCACGATCCATTTTAAGTTATTTTTTATATATAGTAAAAGATTAAGAGCTTCTGAAATTTGCAAATAAAAATCTAAAAATTTCAATCCTATCCAACTCGCCTTTGTATCACTGTCAAAAATCAACTGATCACATATGTGGGTCTATTTCTACATGCTGCTTTCTGTCTCATTGATTTGTATATAAAATTCAATGGTTCTTAATTGGGGTGGGTTTTTCCCCACAGGATACATTCAGCAGAATATATTCATCAATGTCTGGAGACACTCTGGTTCTCTCACACAGAGGTTGTGGAAGCTACTGGCATTGAGTAGGTAGAGATCAGCAGTGCTGTTAAACATACCGTTTTTGTACACGGTAGCACTCCACAACAAAGGAATATTCAGCCCCAAATGCCAGTGGTGCTATTGTTGCGATGTGCTGGCCCAATGTGCTTTCCTTTATTATTACAGGGATAGAATAACTATCTACAACTCTATAAATGGCATGAACTATCTAAGATTGCATTTCAAAACTACCTCAAGTATTTCACACTCTTTTGAGTTCCACATAAAGTTCAAAACCAGCTTACTAATTTCTATTAAAATCTCTGTTGAGATTTTGAATTTCATTGAATATATATGCTAATTTAGTAAGAACAAACATATAAGCAATAGTAAGTATTTTAATCCATGGACACTGTTTATCTTTCCAAATAATCAGGCATTTTCTATGTTTACAGTCTGTTAATTTGATAAATTACATTGACTTTCAAACAGAATAATCTCATATCCCTGATATAAATTCTGTTTGGTCATGTTATAGTTGTATAAATTTTTAGCATTATATTTTAACAATTTTTCCAAATATGTTCTTTTTATTTGCTTAAATTTGTTTAATTATAATTTATGTATTTAAAATATAGTATTATTTTTTTATAAGAGACATTTCTCTATTAAAATCATGTTTTAATTTTTAAGTATATCTATTTTTTTTATTTGTTTTTTTTGGCATCTTTATTTTTTTTTCCTTTTTTTTCTCAAATCGTAATTAATTCACACAGGGGTTATAAACACAGAAAGGCAGGATGTGGGAAAGGGAATGACACTGGAGTGTGGGTATTCAGGGGGAATACAGATATCTTCAGAACCGGGTATCGGCTGGGTGAAGGTTCAGGGGACTAGTCACTATGACTCTGCCTACGATTCACTTGTCCTTATCTAAGTTGGTATTGTCTGCCAAGGCTACCTATTTACAAGGTCGATGACTACTAGGCTTATAAATTTCCACAAAAGCTGCCTGTTTACATTAGCTTATAGCCATCTGTTTCAATGTTCTTCCACTGAGACCCAAGACTTGGTGTTAGTATACATGTATGACAGGCCTATTGCTGATTTTAGGCCTATGGCTGATTTTAGGCCTACAGTGTGTAAGCAGGGCTGCCCCTGACATCTCCTCCCTTCTCTAAGTATAGAAGGGCTGTGGCAATTCTAAACTTGCAAAGGCGGGGATAGAGGCCTGACCTCCAGTATTTGAAGGGGACCTTGTAATGGCTCCAGTCCCCCTGTCGTTGTCCAGTGAGGCATGAGGCCCATACCTGTCCCGATGTCTTTTTCCTGGAGAGGGGATACTTTTGACATCAACCCCTATGCAGTCAGGCTTGTCCCTCAGGGAACCCAGATAGATATTTTTATCTTTTATTGATATTCCCTTGCAGTGCTTAGCCTCGAAGCCTAAGCAAGAATTCAGATCGCCTGTCAGAGGGGGTTCTGGGTGGCCCCTCTCTGCCTGGTCTAGGGACAGAAGTCCCCCCTTTTAGGTTGGGTGGAGATGGGTTTTGGCAACACCCTGTATAAAGTAACAACCTCATCTTGAGTCTCGTGGTCCTCCATAGCTAACTTATGACAATGTATCTGAGTAGGTTTTGTTACCAAATTATTTATCTGTTGTATCACAGAGTTAGTCTGCCTATATGAGGGCCAGGGACCAGCAGAAAAAAGCAAAAAGAACCCAAATAATGGTCCCAAGATGGAAGGAAATAGGGTTGACAACCTTGGAGAGGCTGCAAACCAATTCTTGTACCAGCCTTCATCTGTCTCTTTCTCTCTGATTTTTCTTAGGGCCTTCACTACCTATTTCATGCTCCCTTTAACCCTCCTTGTCTTGTCTATGTAAAGGCAACCTTCTTCTTTGAGGGTTGTACACAGTCAAGAGCTGTATACAACCTTTTCTATTGTACTAGAGTAAATCAAGTCCAATAAGGATCTTTGCGATTTTAGGAGGTCTCTTCAGACAGTGAAACGAGGGATTTCTTCAGATTAGTGATGTCAATCTCTAGCTGTTTGATGTTCTTGTCAGTGGCCCTTCAAAGGTCTGAGTAGTATAAGTTCGGAGGCCAGCATCTGGATTAGAACTTCTAACAGCAGACATCACGGGTGATTCATTTTTACCTGGGATGCTGCCTGAGTTAAAGCTCCTGGGAGTCCCTCTTTCTTTTGGTTTTCTGGGGCTGGGTACGGAGCTGCCGCCTGTGACCTGCTCTATGCTCGGGCCCAGACCGGAAGTCTTAAGTATATCTATTATAGTTTCAGACAAGTTATTGTTCATTGAGTTTAGAATTTTATTGCTTTCCAAATTTTAAAATTTTAACTAAATTTTTTAGCTAGAATACAAAATAATGGGTTCCCTTTCATTATGAAATTTTCATGCATGTATATTTTTGAGCCTTGCTCTTATACTCATACACACCCGCGCATGCACGCACACACACACACCACTTCCTTTCCTCATCCTTCCTCCTCTCTGGCTGGTTTCCTTCTTGCCCTAATGGTCCCACAAATATACAATTAAATCTAGATTCTGGATATGAGAGAAAATATGATTATTTTCATATCTTTCCCATTACCTTCCTTTGTTCCCTCTTCCTTCCTCTCTTAACAAGTCTTCTCTCCCTCTTTGACCCCTTACTTTCATGCGCTTGGTATATATGTACACACATATACACATATATGCAAACATACATACATTCATGTAATATATATAAATAAATAAAATCTAGAGTCTATATATGACATAAAAGATGCAGTATTTATTCTTCTGAATATGGCAATTTCTATTTTTCTGCTAACAACATTTCCTTCTTTACAGTTGAATAAAATTCCACTGGGTATATATACCACATCATCTCTAAGCACTCCTCTGCTGATGAATATGCAGGCTGGTTTCCTCCCGTTTGCTTTGTTTAACCATGTGCTTTCTGCCATTATTCTATACACTACATGCCTAAAGCAAAAGAGCCAATCAACCACAGACTAAATCATTGATACCATTAACCAAATATAAAAATTTTCTCTTTATAAGATAATTTATTCAAGTATGTATTACAGTTACACAAAGCTGACTATCAGAGATTGGATCATTTACATTAGAACTTATAATTAGTAAGGCTGGGTTTATTTATTCTATTTTTTGACACAGAGTCTTAGCTGAAGAGAAACAGAACTGTACATAACTAAACACCAGAGCACTCTGGCGCAATGCAGTCTGCCCCCCTCTACCTCTGTACACATTCTCTTGCCCCCCTTTGTCTTCTTTTCAATAACAGGTGGATGAAGGGATCAGAAGCCACCATGCCTTGGTGCTTATTCAATGATACATTTTTAATTTGTCACATATCTCTTCAAGTAAATACTTTTATTACATGAATTTTACAATAGACTATTTCAATTTCTCACAACCCACTTATTTTGGCCACTCCTGTCTTTCATTTTACTTGAATACATGAGTCCCACAGTACAATATTATTTTCTTCCAAGCATTTAACTTTTTCTTTAGAAGATACTTACAAAGTGAAATTCTTTAAGTCTATATAATTATCACATCTAGAATTTCATCCTTTATAATCTAAGTCTCCTTGTAGTACAGTCTTTCTTCTGACTAAAGACCTTTGACATTAGGAAATTATTATTTTATTGTACGTATGTGGGCATTTTGCTGCATATTATTTTTTGTTTATTAGCATTTTGCTTTCTATGCACCATGAGTCTGCAGTGCACTCAGAGAGCATCTGATCATCTGAAAGTGGACTTACAGATAGTTGCGAGCTGTCACGTGGGTACTCAGATCCTTTGGAAGTTATAGTCAGTGCTCTTAACCACCGAGCCATTATTCTGCCTTACACTTTAATATTTTGAATGCAACAAATTAGGAAATGAATTCTCTTAGCCCTTGTTTATTCTGTGCCCCATATTAACTGATTAAAAAAATAGGATAGGGTGCAGACATGGCTCAGCCATTAAAAGACGAGGTCCACATCCAAAAAATTAAAGTAAAATATACTACCATCTGTAACTCCAGTTCTAAAGGATCTGATGCTCTCTTCTGGCCTCCTTGGGCACTGCATGTATATGATGCACAGACACACATGCAGGCAAAACACTAATACACATAAAATAAATACAATCTCAAAAAGGGAGAGTCGTAATAAGAGTTCCTGTAGTATTCTTGCCAGCTACTTTATTTCAGTCAGTAAACTATAGATCTACTGAGAAAGGCTATCTCAAAACTAAAATGGAGAGTGACTGAGAAGGAAACTTGCTGTTGTCCTCTGGGTTCCACAGGCATGCAAATTCACTTACACATAGACCAACACAGATACACACAAACAATAAAAACACTGGGTACTGAGTCACTCTAAATAGCTTCACTAAGCAGAAACACTGGATATATATTTATACTTTTGTTTAGGAAGAGAATGATGTCTTGTGAAGAATAGAATATAAGACAATACTCACATAGATATCATCATATTCTACCTGTCTTTTCTTTATGGTTCATAGCTATATCATTAATAGAGTGATGTGATCAATCTTAGACATGATTGCAACTATATACTAAGTTCTATAAGTGTTTTAAAAATACACCTCCAGTTGTCCAATACAAATACTAATGATTGAACTCATTTTTAAAATGTACTCTTTTTATTTTCAGGATGATAGGCTAAAAATTGATTTCCCCACTATTATATGTTGAAATTGATTTATGCAGCCGAGCACATCATCATGTAGTATTTATACCCATAACAATAATCCTCCATCCAGTTAATTGATCAGATAAGTTTTTCCCACTTAGTTACAACCCACCAATTTGTGCTACTAGCCAGATCTTGTAAAACAACATATCTTAAGAATTTGTTTATTCTTTCTTATTTTTAAATACATGAAAGTCCAAAGAGTTCCTCAAAAGAAGCCTACTTATCTTGGTCTTAATGTTAGTTCATATCCCCTATCTCTATAAATATAAATTCAGTAACATATGACTATACTTAGGCTAAAATAGCATGGGAAAATTTACAGTTATTATTACTGTGCTCTTAAAGCTATACACATATAAATAACTACTCAAGAGAGTTTCAAAAAATTTAGTGTCAATGTCCATGTCCATGTCCATGTATGTGTGTGTACATGTAGACATGATTGAGTGTGAGGGCACATGTGTGCATGTGAATATGAAGGCCAGAGGTCATCCTCGGATTACTTTTTGAGACAGGATCTCTGGTCTCTGAGACAGGGACACTGAAATCTGGTGTGTCCTGGTTAGGCCAGGGATTCTGGTCAGTGGGCTCTAGAGAACTGCCTACTTCCACTCCCTCAACACTGGGTTTTTCCTTATGTGGGTTCTAGGGATGGAACTCAGGTCGTCATGTTTCTTCTGACTGAGTCATGACCTCAGCCGTATGTTATTTTTGGTAACACTAAGATTCCTCCTCCCTAGATTCGTCAAAAAGAAAAGAGAAAAAAAAAGGAGGAGGAAAATGGATATTGGTGATGAGTTTAAAACTCGTTGAGTTCTGAGCAGGAGAGATGGCTCAGTGGTTAAGAGCACTGGCTACTCTTTTAGGAAGATCCAGGTAGGATTCCAAACAACCACAGGGCAGCTGTCTGTTAACTTCTGTTCCAGGGAATCTGATGTCCTCTTCTGGCCTTTGAGGGTACTGCATGGATGTGGTACACACATTAAATGCAGGCAAAACACATATACAAAACTCTTGAGTTTTAAGGTCAATACTTGCAATAGCATGTCATTGAAACAGTGGCTTTTTAGCTTCCTGTGGATGTTTATTGAACTGCTTGATAGAGAAAAGTAAACAACAACATACATCCAAACAGGAATTACTTCATGCTTCCCCTCCTAACTCTTAAGAATGTGTAGGTTAAAAAGAACGCCTCAGATGGGTGTCGGGCTTTTGTGTCTCCCAGCACCCGGGTAGCTGAGGCAGAAGCATTCTACGTATGAGGCCAGCATTGGTTGCATATTAAGATCCTGTATCAAAAATCAAAATATCTGTCACATGAATCATCATTAATATTAGACCTTTTGTGGAAATCATTCTAGACAATTGAAAGTAAGATGAGATTCATAGACTGTTTTCTTCTGACTTACATGACATGTGACAGCCAATGGGAACATAATTCACTAATACACGCACTGATTCTCTAACCCCCACACAACACTGCATCTTCACTCATAATTTTAGCAGGCTTTAAAATCATTCATTAGTATAAGCAATCACTTTAGTTTTCACTTTGAATATTTTCATTTTTCACTCATTTTCCTAAGAAAATAGAAATCTAACTCGACAAGCACCATTACCTTTAAATGATTCCCCGCAGAAGCACCATGTAAAGGCAAAATTCCATGTATGTTTTCAGAGTTGACATTTGCACCTGCTTTTAGTAACTCTACAATTACATCATCAAACCCCCCACTAGATGCCTTGTGAAGGGGTGTCCAACCTGAAAGAGAACAGATAATAAAGCTGCTCCGTAACTAGGAGAGGCATGCAGTGTCTTTATTTTCAGGGGTCTTGTGTTGGTGAACTCAGTAACTCTATTAAAACACATGTAAATGTACTGAGTGTTGAATAAGAAATAATTTTAGAAGCATTGTTTTAAAACATGTGAGCTTCATTTCGGGAAAAAGGGTAATCTCTTCCTAAATACTGTTGATAAAGGTGCCAAAACAGAAAGAGGATAAATTCCAATCATTTCAGCTTAGTTTTGATAATATCTAGCTTTCATATCTCAGATTTGCACTGCTACATTCCTATTTAAAGTGGCACCTGACTCAGTAAACCTTTGTGTTTTCCTTTTTATTTACACAGATATTTTCTGTACAAGCATAATACCACAAAAATGATTTTTAGAATAGGTTTAGAATAAGAAAGACAAGACAGTAAAGAAGGAGTTGCATAAAGGAAGCAGAGAGTAGACAGCAGTTGGGACATTTTGCATTTCCTCCTGAGTCAGAGAATGTGATTAGAGCTTCCCAGGAGAAGCTTAACTGCTCTGCCCTTCTCACTCCGTGCATCCTTCTGTTTCAAAGGAAACAGGCATCGAAACAATGACAAACCTTATTAGTCACCAAACTAAAATTTGGTATAAAAATACAGTTCAAACTTAGCTAAGTATCCCTCAGTATCAAAATTAGGGGCAAAAGGAAAAACACCCAGTATTTCAGTGAGTTCAAATAAAACAAACAAACAGTTAAAAGGACCCAAACCTGCATTGTCTTTTAGATTCACATCTGCTCCAGATTCTATTAGCACTTTCACTAGGGAAAGATTTCCTCCTCTGGAAGCCACATGGAGCCTGCTTTCTCCTTTGGCATTCCTCTTATTGATTCCAGCTGTGTTCACTTCTGTAATTATATCAAACAAATCTGAGCCTTATTTTCTGCAAAATGTTCATTGTTTATAAAGGACTTTAGAAAATACAGATCTTTCCATCAAAGTTCAAAAGTTAATGATGTACTTTACATTTTTATTGCTTCTACTGAGACATCAATTAAAAAATAAAAGAGATTCTGGCATGCTGTTAAAAAAAAAAGAAAATACAGATCTACTTCCTGATAATACTGGATGTATTACACTAAACATATAACTTCTTTTTAAAAAGAGAGATGAAGTCTTTATTTTATGTCACAATTCCAGGTAAGAGTCCATCACCATGTAGGGAGTCATAGGAACAGGAGTTTGAGATAACTGGCTAAGAATCTTGCAAACTGATTATGTTTAAGTATGTAGAAGGTATATAGTAGATAAAACTCCTGGAAACATTGGGAAGTTTTAATGATAAAATTGATACTACCTACTGGATACTATATTTCCTCTTACTAGATGTCTCTCTCCTTCAAGGTGTTTCTAAACTGGGAACACATCAGTTAATCTTCAGAATTAATTCATGCTAAGTGAGTTATGAAGCAATTTTTTTAAAAACTGTATCATGATTTCTTGGGCATGTATCAGTGGATTGGAAAACTGTTTGCTGCTTTTGGTTCAAATCTTAGATTGAGAAGAAATAATAGTGGTTTTTATTGACTCAAGCAAATACACAAACACTTGGTTAAAACAAATTTGCTTTAGTTCCACACTCATCTCACTCTCAGTAGTCCTGTAACAATGGAGTACGTTTTTTCTTAAGATAAATATCCAATATATACAAAGAACTCAAGAAATTAGACTCCAGACAACCAAATAACCCTATTAAAAATGGGATATAGAGCTTAACAAAGAATTTTCAATGGAAGAAACTCGAATGGCAGAGAAGCACCTAAAGAAATGTTCAGTGTCCTTAGTCATCAGGGAAATGCAAATCAAAACAACCCTGAGATTCCATCTCACACCAGTCACAATGGCTAAGATTAAGAACTCAGGTGATAGTAGTTGCTGGCGAGGGTGTGGAGAAAGAGGAAC